CCATAGCAATCTGACTTTTGACCCCATCACTCAACCAACTGCTTTCTCCAAGGTTGCCAATGAGCTCTTAACTGCTAAATGCAATTATCATCCTTTTTGGCATCTTACCATATTTTAACACTATTGACCACCCTCTTCTCCTGGATATTCTCTCCACTATTGGCTTTCATGACAATGTTTTCTCCTGTTCCCCCCCCCCTTCCTGTCTGTACCCTTTCAGTGCCTTTTGCTGGATTGGCATCCATGTCTCATTCTCAGAGCATAGGCCTCCTTCAAGGCTCTGTCTTGGGATATTATCTCTTCTCCTTATGTACTCTCTTGCTGAACTTATCAATTCCCAAGGATTCAATTGTCAATTCTATGCAGATGACTCCAAAACCAACATGTTCAGCCCTAATTCTTCTCCTGAGTTCTAGTCCTCCTTCAACAAATGCCCAATGGACTTTTCCACCTGTATGTCTTCTAGGCTTCTCAAATTCAAACTTATTAACGTCACTCCATTAACTTGCCCTTCTCCAAACTTTCCTATTTCTTTCAAGGGCACTACCATCCTTCTAGTTGCCCAAGTTCACAACCTTAGAATCATCCTTGACTCTTCCCTCTCTCTCACCTCCCATATCCAAACAGTAACTCAGGTTTTGTTAATTCTACATCTACAACATCTCTCCTGTCTCTCCAGTTACATGGTTATCACCCTAGTTCTGGCCCTCTTTAGACTCCAACCAACCTTTTCAGGCATATTTCACTTTATTCCCCTTCTCTGTGTTCCACCAGCCTTCCTGCTGTTCCCCAAACACAACAGTCTACTTTCCACCCAGCTGTCTTTACATCCCTTTCTTTACTTAGACTTTTTATCTTCTTTCAAGGACCCATTCAGGAGCCACTTCCTTCATCCTCTTCATTGTTATTGCTTGCTTCCTCTTCAAATTATATTACTTTTACTTTTCTGTGATAATAGACACAAAATTTAAGAGTTGGAAAGGAACCTTAGCAATCAACTATATGTAGCCTAACCCATGCTCCCCCAAAGAATGCCCACTATGATATGCTTGAGAAGTGATCATCAAGCCTTTCTTAGAGAGCTCCACGGCAGGGCACCCTACCACCTGTCAAAGCAGTTCATTTTATAAACGCATACACACATTTGTTGTTGTTCAGTTGTTTCAGTCATATATGACTCTTCATGACCCCATCTGGGGTTTTCTTGTTAAAGATGCTGGAGTGGTTTGCCATTTCCTTTACCAGTTCATTTTACAGATGAGGAAACTGAGGCAAACAGGGTTAAATGACTTGTCCAAGGTTACACAGCTATTATGTGTCTGAGACTGGATTTGAACTCAAGAAGATGAGTCTTCCTGACTCCAAGACTGGCACTCTATCTAACGTACCATCTAGTTGTATGTATGTGTGTGTGTATAGAACATTATAATAGTTATAAATATTATATATACATACACACAACATACATAGTCATATATACTTATATATGGATATATGTACATATATTACATGTGTGCATATATTACATATGTACATATATTATATATATATATGAAATTACTAGGAAGTTTTTGCTGATAGCAAGGCCATATTTACCTTTTTGAAACTTTTATCTACTGATCCTGGTTCTACCCTTTGGGGCCAAAGAGAATAAATTTAATTCCTCTATCACATGACAGCCCTTCAAATGCTTGAAAATAACTATCATTTCCTCACTGTCTTATCTTCTCTAGGCTAAACATCCCCAGGTCCTTTAACTGATCTTGGTATCACATGAAATCAAGGCCCTTCACCATTCTGGTCACTCTCCTATGGATACTTTCTAGTTTATCAATACTATATATTCTCCCAGCAGAATATAAGCTCCTTGAGACTGAAGCTTTTTTTGTTTTGTCGTTATATTCTCAGCATTTACTCTCACTCAGTGGACACTTAATAAACACTAATTGAATTAAAACCATGAGATCATGAACATGGGAATGTTAGGAAGAGACGTGGATCTGGGGTAGAAGAATCATGATTTATTTCGGACATATTGAATCTGATATGCCTATAGGATGTCCAGTTGGAGATGAAATTCAGAAGAGAGACTGAAATAGCAATGTAAACTTCAGTCATTTACTTGAAGATGTTGAGGGGGCAGCTAGGTGGCACAGTGGATAGGATGCTGGGCCTGGAGTTAGGAAGACTCATCTTCCTGAGTTCACATCTGGCCTCAGACATTTATCAGCTGCATGACCTTGAAACAGGTACTGCAGATGGAGAATGAGTTGAGTCCAAAACTACCCTGCATTTCAGAAATTCAACAATGCTTTTAACTACCCCAAGGTGAATCTGACATGAAAGCCTATCTTTGAAATAAGTTCTGAGAATGCCATATGGTTTTGATTTTGGAACTCCACAATCTTCAAAGATCAGAGTTGCTGGTTTATACCAGCAAAAATATTAGTACATTGGCCTATCAGTAAGGTACATGGTGGGAATAAATAAATTGAAACATATTTCCAATGAGAATTTATACAGAAGAAGTAAAATAAAATGTATTGTTCAGGATATAAATGAACAGAAAAGGAAGTGTCATGTGGCAAAAGAGAACAGATGCACAGTCGGATCGCTACATTAGTACTCACAAAATGTAAAAAGTCCTAGAGAATGGCCCAAAGTACAATGGGTAGATTTGCTGTGGAGGCTTTATAGGAGAACACAAATATCAATTGCTTAAGATAAAAAGGTGCTGGAGCGGTTGCAGTCTACAGTAAATGGGAGGAATATATTGATGAGATCATAGATACATTGAAGTATTAGAGGGCCAGGGTTCATGATATAGGCTGAAGTTCTCCCTTCTGTTCCCCTCTCCACAGGCCAAAAACACTGACATTTGGGATGTTGGAGGCAGTATCATAAGACCATTACATGGGCAATAGAGACCCTTCCTCTATACTGTAATACCCAGAAAGGAGCTCTCATTCTTGGACAGCTAGGTGGCATTGAGGCTAGTGTGCCAAACTTGGAGTCAGGAAGACCTTGGGTTTGAATTCTGGCTTAGACACCTACTGTAGTTGTACAACCCTAGGCAAGTCACCTGTTTCCTCATCTGCAAAATTGGGATAATAATAGTACCTACCTCATAGGGTTGTCGTGAGGATCAGGTGAGCTAATATAAAGTGCTTTGCAAACCATAAAAAACTATATACATGCTACCTAGATCTTATTCTGTCCCTAACTTTAAATAAGTCCCAGGATCATGTAAGAGACCTGTGATGACTTCTAGAAGAGTCCCCAGGCCTGGGTAGCAAACCCTATAAAAGCATATGTTGGGTGGGTAGAGATGAGGGTGGTGCTACATGGAATTGTGAACAGGCAATCAATCAACAAGCATTTATTAAGTACCTGCTATGTGCAAGGCACTGTGCTAGGCTGTGAGGACACAAAGATAAGTTCCCCAACAATGGATACCAAAGGAATCCTTATTCTATAACCATGCAGGCCAGGAGTATACTGGGCAGAGAAGACCTTGAAGGGAGGACTGGGAGAAGCAAGTCTAAGGAGAAGAGAGAGTAAGGGCCAGAGGGAGAGGAGAGGTCTCAAGAGAGGAAAGGAAGAGTTAAGGGGAAGGGCAGGTTTCAGGTGAGGGAGAAGAGGGCAACAGAGAAAGAAGATGGCCCTGGTAAAGGAAAGGGAAGGGAAGAAGGGCTGGATCTTAGGATGGGAAAGAAGAAATTGGTAAGAACATGCTGAGATCCAGGGAGAAAAGAAAAGAGGTACAGAAAGAGGAAGGGAGATGAAGGAACATGGATGGAGTCAGAGGAAAGAAGGAGGGGATGGAGGATGGGGAGTAAATAGAGAGGGAAGAGACAAGCACAGAGGGGTCTGAAAAGGTAGGAGTAGGAACACTGGAGCAGAAAGTAGAGCAGGGAAGGTATAGATTGGAAATGGAGGGACAGATGGGGAGAAGATGAAGAGGATGATGGATGGGCAGAGAACTGGGGAGAATGAATGAAGATGGGAGGAATCTAGAAGGGAGGGGAGAGAGAATGAGATGGAGGGATAGAAGTTATGGAGCCTATGGAGCATAAGGGGAAGGGACTGAGAGGGCAAGAGGGGTGGAGATGAAGCAACAGAGGAGAAAAAGAGGAAGGAAAGAGTGGAGAGCAGGGGACTGAGGAAGATGAAGGGGAGGGAAAGTAGGAATGGAGAAGGGGTTGAGGATACGGAGGGACAAAAAGCATGGGGATAGAGAGGTAGAAAGAGCAGGGATAAAGTAGCAGAATGAGGAAAGGATAAAAGGTCAAAAGCCTAAGGAGAACGAAGGGGGAGGAATAGAAAGGAGAGGTAAGGAGGTAGAGGGGGTAGAAGGAACTGAGATGAATGGATAGAGAGGGAGATGGTGAAGGGGGGATGGATAGGTATAGGACTAAGGAGGATGGAGAAGGAGAGGAGAGGGAAAGACATTGAGGAGTAGAAGGGGCAGAGATGGAGGAGTCTAGGGGTAGAGGATGAAGGGGCAAGGACGATGAGGATGTAGAGGGGAGCTGAGGAAAGGGAGGGTGGATGAGCGGGTTGTTGAGGTGGATGAAGAGTGGAGGAGGGGGAGGGCACTGAAGTGGAAGGGATGGAGGGACAGATTGAGGAAAGGAAGAAGGGGAGGATGGATAGTTGGGGGCTGAGAAGGAGGAAGAAGGGAAGAATGAGAGATGGAGGGGAGAGGGAGGGGCTGAACTAGGGGCCAGAGAAAGGGGAGTGTCTCTCTCTTGGCAGGTCTGGACAGGCTCGGGGACGGAGGCTCACCTGAGGCAGGCACCTCGATGGGCTTCAACTAGAGACTCTGGTGGCACCCACCCAGCCGCCCCTACAGCAGGAGTCAGACCAGAAGTGCGCCACGGACCCTAGCCCGAAGTTCACTCAAGCAGTCGGCACTCGGGACCTGCGGAGGCCTCGTTGTCTCAGTGGTCCTACGTCTGTAGGCGCTGCCTACTGCAGCACCCGCCTTGTCTGGGAGGATGCGCAGGGCAGCTCCACCTCGGGAGGCGGGCCGAGAGGCTGCGCTGGTTTCTCTGTGCTGAGGAGGGGGCGGGGCTCAGAGGATAAAGAGGTAGTAGCAGAGCCCACAGAGGGCGGGGCTACAGCGATGGAAAGCCGATGGGCGTGGTTAACTGGAGGGGCGGGGCCCAGAGTTGTAGGCAAATTTTGTAGTTTCTTTTGCCCAGTCTCCACTGTCACTTTCAATTTCTGAGTCCCTGCAGCTAGCTGCCCTCGAGCCCACGCTGGCAAAAGAACCCCTTCCTCCTACAGACCGATCCCCAAACAGGAGTTCCCAGGCATAGATACGATCGTCTTTCACGTGTAGTGAGGGCGCAGCTTCGACTCGTTGGTCCCCTCCGGAGACTCAGAGATCCAGAAACCAGCCTCCTGAAATCGCACCAGGGTGAGTGCTAAATCCTGTTTCCTGCCCCACCCCTCCAACACATACCGCCTCCCACCTTAGAGTTCTTGCTGGTTTGTACCCCCGGCCTTCTCATACTGCCTCCCCAGAACTCAAAGAAATATGTCCCGCCTCTCAGAGTCTACTTGGGTATGTTCTTCCCCACAGAGCTTATATGGGTCAGTTTTCCCCTGCCTCATCCCTCTTTATCTCCCTTGGGTGTATGTAGCAACCTGCCACTCCGCAGCTCACATGAAAGGCTCTTCAGGGTTCCCATGATCAATGCAACAGCTGCAATAGCTCCTGTAGGTATACTATTGATAGGTAGGCAATCAGGCATGTAAAAAGTCTTCTCCATTTGGAGGCTCAGGGGTCTTTTGCCAGAATAAAGACAAGAAGTACTTCTTGGTCTCCATGTACCTTCTGAATCTTCCCTTCCTTCACTCCTTTGAGTTCCAGGGACTGCTGTGTTCTTGGTTGTCACCACCCATTCTCCCAATAGGGTTCAATTCCTCCTAGGCCACCAGCTGAAGGGAAAGCAAGCTATTAGCCTCAATTCACTCCTAGGTCATTCTAGTGAATCGTTTACACCTATTGCTTCCATTATCACTAGTGTCCCTCTCTTCTTAAATTCTCTGCAATCTAGTTTCCAATGTCATTCAACTGAAACTTCATGCAGGAGGTAGAATTTCTATTTAATCCAACAAATGTGTATTTAGTGTTAAATTTTTTGTGTCCCTGGCACTTAGCTAACTGCTGGACACATCATCTTTTGATCCTTACTCTGGGAGGTAGGAGCAGGAACTTAATAAATATTTATTGACTTATTAACTGAAGTGCCAACTTTTTTTTGTAAGATAGATTAGGGAGAAGAAGAAAAGAAAAATAGCCCAGTCTTTGCCTTTTAGAAGCCTCCAGTCTACCAGAAAGAGATATAGATCATGTATTGAAGCTATTAAAGCTTAAATGTACACTAAAACTTTTGGGACACACTGTACACAGGTATTCTCCAAGACTGAACATGATAAGGACAAAGGAGAGAGCTGGGCAAAGTATTCTAGGAAATTTTGAGGAGGGGCAGAATATTATCTGCTGAAGACTCAAGGAGATGGCCCCTGAAATGGTACTTGTAGGAAGAGAAGGGTTATAGCAGATAATGTTGAGACCATGACCACACCTGTGGATAAATGGGGTAGAGAGGAGACAGATTCTGTTCATGTGGAGCTTGATGAACTGAGAACCAGGGGAGATAACAGTATTGTCAATTTAAACATCGAAGTTACCAAGGAAGGGTGTGGTGGAAGGGAAGATGGCAAGTCAGGTGGTGAAATAATTAGGACAGGGACTTCTAAGAAATTTATATATGTTGCTCATCAGCATTCAGGGAAATGGGTAAAAATACCCCTACATCAAAGGTCTTTCTTTTATAAGACATCTCAAAAAGTCTTTCAGTTAGTCTCCTTGTGCTCAGAGAACTGTGAAGGAGGCCCCAATCAGTCTCCCAGGGAGTCTTGGCTCTTTTGCTGACTCATTTCTTTCTTCTGATCTTCAGAACCAGTCTTGCCCAACCTCTTTCTTTTCCCCATAACCATTGGCCTCCTGATCATGCCCATCCCATAGCACAGTGCCTTAGTAAATGCTTAATAAATAAAATGTTAGTAAGTGCTTTCCTTCTTTTCTTCCTTCCTTCATTTTCCCTCCTTCTTTCTTTCCCTCCTTCCTTCTTCCCCTCCTACCTTATTTCCTTCCTTTCCTTTCCCCCTCCTTCCTTCTTTCCTTCCTTTCCCTTTTCCTTTTTTCCTTCCTTCTTTCCCTCCTACTTTCTTTCCTTCCTTTCTTCCTTTCATTTTGCTCTAACCTTTCCTTAACTCTTTCTTTTCTTGTACCTAGCCATTCAGCAGATTCAAATGAGTACTATAACATCAGAGAACATCAGAAATTTTTCCATATGTTCTATCATAGTTGTGGAGTGGTGGAACATTTTTAGTTGTATAACAAATTAAATAACTGTAGGGGACAAAAGTAGATTAATTTGATGATATAAAAACAAAGAATGTTTGTGTGACAAAAGGAAATGCTTCCAGAATAAAAAAGGAAAGAAACAGATTAAGAGCAACATCTTGGTGTTAAGCACTTTTGACAAAAGTTTGATATAAAATCAGTGAAGAATTGATACCAGTTTATGAGAGTAGGAGCTATTTCCCCCACCAGATTAATGGTTAAAGGACATGAATAGTCAGTTTTCAAAGAAGAAATACAATTATGTAGAAATTTCAGAGGGACATATTTAGGTTCCATGTGTAGAAAAAACTCCCTAACAGTCAGAGCTATTTGAAAATGGTATGGGCTGCCTTGGGAGGCAGTGGGTTCTTTGTCCCTGGAGATATTTAAGTGAAAGATGACCCATTTGTCAGGTGAGTTTGCAGAGGGAATTCTTGTTCAGAGATTCTGTGATTCTGAGGGAGAGTAATGGTCAGCAGAAGACAGCAACATGGTTCTGGACAGGATGGCATAATCAGGTGCTATGGTCCTCAGAAAAGGAAAAGTTGTTGCTAAATGATTGTATTCCAGGGTTGGGTCTGGTGTGTGAGGTTGGGAAGAGGAGAAGGAAGAGGAGGAGGAGGAGGAGCTTTTTTTTTCCATTTTATGCTTCTTTATTGATTGAAAGGAGGGAAAAATGAAGGAAGGAAGAAAAGAAGGAAAGCACTTACTAACATTTTATTTATTAAGCATTTACTAAGGCACTGTGCTATGGGATGGGCATGATCAGGAGGCCAACGGTTATGGGGGAAAGAAAGAGGTTGGGCAGGACTGGTTCTGAAGATTAGAAGAAAGAAATGAGTCAGCGAAAGAGCCAAGACTCCCCGGGAGACTGATTGGGGCTTCCTTCACAGTTCTCTGAGCACAAGGAGACTAACTGAAAGACTTTTTGAGATGTCTTATAAAAGAAAGACCTTTGATGTAGGGGTATTTTTACCCATTTCCCTGAATGCTGATGAGTAACATACATAAATTTCTTAGAGGTCCCTGTCCTAATTATTTCATTTCCATTTTAGCTTCTACTTATAGATTCCAGATGAATGCATTCACATCTCAAGAAGAACGCAAAGTTAGTTGTCTCATTTCAATTCCTTTCTATTTTACCCCAGAAGCAAAAGTCATTTCCTGACATCACTTTCTTCACCTTCCCAAGAATCACACCAGATCAGTGCTTTTATCAAAATCCTGACACCAGACTCAAAACTAGGAATTCTTGTGCATGGAGCAAATTCAGTTGGGGAGGGCAGGTGGTTGCAGAAGACAGTCTATCTCAGATTGTTGTTGTTCTTGTTGTTTGTTGTTTGTTCTTCAAGAGGACTTATGAGATCAGGAAGGTGGTGTCTTGATTTGCAAGTGAGTCAGGACTGTGCAAAATCACTAGACTCACTCTCTTTTCTGGAGCCATCTGGGTCCAGTGGCAAGATACAGATTGAGAATGAAGTACAAATAACAATCTATGAGTAGTAGTAGCTGACTCAACTGGTCAGTTCCAGTTGGGCAATGCTTCTCCCTACCTCAGGTATAGTTCTACTAGAAGGAGCAACCCATCCATAAAACAGGGGCTCTTAAGCTTTTTTTTTTTTTTTAGGTCATGGACCTCTTTGGCATCCTGGTGATACCAATGGATCCCTTCCAGAATAGCATCTTTAAATTCATAAAATAAAATTCATAGGATTACAAAGGAAACCAATTATTTTGAAATAAAGGTGTAATTTTTCCCTTCCCAGTTCATGAACCCCCTAAAATATATTCTGGGGGCCCCTTAAGAGATCCATGAACCCCAAATCAAGAAATTTATGCCTTAGAGAATCCTAATTGCTGCTAGTCCCTAATTTTTCCCCTCCTCCCCAATCCACATGAGTTAAATATAAGGACATCTCTTCTGATTACTGACTTTCTTAGACATCCAAGCTCCATGTAGCTGGGCTAAATGGAAGGTAGTGGAGGGGGTGGGTCAGTGACAGGCCCAAGAGAACCTGCCCTGGCAGAATGCTGCAGGTGTTAAGCCTGAGGCTGGCCAGAAGACTACAAGGAAAAAGTCTGCTCCCACCCCAACTCTCCACCACGTTGACAATCTACTGAAAAACTCTGGTCACTTCGATTGCTTAGTTCTTACTCTGTATGACATTCCATCCTCCTCATCCCACCCTTATCATTCAACCAATTTCCCCTTTCAATCCTTCAACAAGCATTTATTAACCACCTGACCAGTGCCAATCACTGCTAGACCCTGGGGATAGAAAGACAAATGGAAATGTCTCTGCCCTCAAGAATCCTATAGTCTATTAGGAGGAGACAGATAAATAAGTACAAAGTACTGTATAAATAAAATAATCTTGGTGGGGTGGTAGTGTGGGGAGGAAATTAGCCTACACAAGAATCAAGATAGGCTTCATGTATGAGGAGGCACCAGCTGGTTCAAGCCTTCAAAGAATTCTAAGAGGTGGGAGGGAGGAGGGAGTATATTCCATACATGAGCAACAGCTTGCACAAAGGCATGAGGTTGGAAGAAAGAATGTTGTCTAGGAGAAACAGCAAATAGGCCTATTTGGCTGAGACACAGAGCATGTGAAGAGAGTAATGTGTAATTAATCTGAAAACTTGGTTGGGAGCCAGACCATGAGGGGTTTTGCATGCCAAATAGAGGAGTCTGTATTCTATCCCAGAGGTGGTAGGGAGTGTCTAGAATCTATTGGTCAGGTAAGCGATGTGATCAGACTTATACTTTAGGATTACAAACCTCACAGCTGTCTAGAGGATGAATTGGAGAGGTGAGAGACTTAAGGCCAGAAGACCAACTAGGAAGCTATTACAATAGTCCAGATGAGAGGTGATGAGAGCTTGATCTAGGGAAGTAGCCATGTGGATAGAAAAAAAAAGGGATTACTGGAAGAGATATTACTGACCCTCTTGTGTCTTTTTCTCTCAGGTGTGATGGAGACCATCAGTCCCTCAGGGGCTCTCTTCAAATTCCTTGTTTCCTTCCTCCTCCTTAACATACCCACTCAGGCCTCAGGTATGACTCTGCTTTCTTCTAGCTCCCAGGGCCTTGCCATAAGGCCCTAAGCTAAGCCCAGGGAGATTCTGGCCTCTTCTCTCCTTACAAACCAAGCCATTCCTCCCTTATTGGAGGAACTCCATCTCCATAACCAGTCCCTTCTCTTCAACCTGATACCTTCTCAATGTCCTCATCATCCTGTCCCTTTCCTTCCCTGAGCTCTCTCCCTCCTTCTCTCTGGCTCTATCTATGGGGTTTTGGACTCTGTTCTCCTGCTTCATCTGTATCCTCGAGTCTAACTCCTCTAACCCTTTTCTGTGCTCCTCTCTGACCCCATGTCTTTTTTTTATGGCTTGTTGAACAGGGAGTTTCTTAGTGTTTGGACCTACAGCACCTGTCCAGACTTCAGTGGGAGGAGAGGCAGTATTATCATGTCACCTGTCCCCCGCTCAGAATGCCGAGGATATGAAAGTGATCTGGTTAAAATCCCAGGATGTAGTGCATCACTATCAAGGTAGAGAGGATCATTCGGAAGACCAGACACCTAATTTCCAAGGGAGGACTGAGCTGTTGAAAGATGCCATCACTGCGGGGAATGTCACACTGAGGATATGGAATGTGAAATCTTCAGATGCAGGACAGTATAAGTGTTTATTTAGTGATTCTTCTCACTCAGCAGAAGCATTCATGGAGCTGAAGGTCATTGGTAAGGCCCTGAACTGAGGTTTGTTTTCCTGGGATTTGTTTTAATGCATCTGGGAAAGTATGGCTTGCCAGCTTATTCTGTTCAACAACCAAAGGTTACAAGGGATCTCCTTCCTGCCAGACCCTCAGCCAGATGCAGGGAATACAAAGGTGATAAATGGAATAGCCCCTACCTTCAAGGAACCTACTATTTATAAGGTCATCCTTCATGTACATAAATATCTATGACACAAGGCAGAATGTGCTAAGCACAAACATTTTTGAAGGAGTGATCAATTTCAGTTGGACAGATCAGGGAAGGCTTCAAGGAAGAGGGGAGAAAGGGAAGCATTTCATGGAGGATGTGATATGTCTGTAACTTAGTATGACTGACTGATGCTGTCCAGTTCAGTGATTCTTACCTTTGATGACAAGTTCTTTCATTACTCCAAGCTTCTCTTACAAATTTATATCATGTCTCCTTCCCCCATCAGGAGCCTTTGCTCATTCACTATCCCATGTGCTATCCTCATCCTAATCTTGTGTCCTTGCTTTTTTTGGCCTTACAAGTAGGGTTCCATCTGTTATTGGCTCCTCCAAGTAAAGGACCTGTTTGGGGACATTTGGGTAGTGGTGGTGTATTCTCCTTTGAAGCTGCATAGCCCTGAGCCCTAGACCTCAATGAATTCCATCAGCTTCCTGGGGTACCAGCTCCTTGGGACTGCTCCTGAGCACCCTCAGCTTACCTTTGGCCTCTGGGCTCTTGCCTTTCACTGCTTTTCCCTTATGGCTCTAGGGTGGAAAAACTCCTTTTTCTGTAAGCCTAGCTGAGATGAGTTTGGGGAGTTTTCCAGAGGAAATTTGACTCAGAAATATATATCAATTATCTACCTGTGACAACAAATGTCTGATCACAGGTGAGCGTGACTGACTCACTTCACAACGTTCCCCTGTCTTGGGCCTATCTGTGGTAGATCCTGTATCAAGCTCTCTGGCTTCCAAGCTGGAGAGGTGACTTGAGTGAGCCCTCTCAGTCCTCCCATCATCTGTCTTCCAGGCCCCTGGGTCAGCACTTCTGGCCCCTGGCTGCCCTATCCTGCCTCACCCTTGGATCCTGTGTGGTTCCCAAATTCTTCAACTCTGTGATATATAGGTGATAAAATAAATGCTTATCGAATTAGATAAATCTTCAACTTGGACTGAGTCCAAGTCTTTGGAAGGCAATTTAGTGATGTTGTGATTGGAGTACTGGACTTGGAATAAGGAAGACCCCAGTTCAAATCCTAGCTTAGATACTTGTTAGTTGTGTGACCCTGGGTAAGTCACTTAACTTTTTGTAGCCTATGTTTCCTCCTCTGCAAAATGGGGATGATAACAGCACCTAACCCCTGGGGTTGTTATGAAGATCAAAGGTGATAGCACACGAAAAGTACTTTGCAAATAGAAATGCTAGCTAATATTATCGCCTGTTAGTGCCTTCTCCTCTAAGATTATCCTCCATCTATTTTGTATGGATCTTGTGTAAACCTTGTTAGATTCATGTTTTCAGCCCTGTTAGAATGTAAGCTCCTTGAGGACAGGAATTATTTTTTGCTTTTTCTATGTCTCTATGGCACATTGTTGTTGTTCAGTCTCTTTTCAGTCATGTCCGACTCTTTGTGACTCCATTTTTTTTTTGTTTGTTTTGTTTTGGCAAAGATACTGGAGTGGTTTGTCATTTTCTTCTCCAGCTCATTTTACAGAGGAAGAAACTGAGGCAAACAGGGTCAAGTGACTTGCCTAGGGTCACACGGCTAATAAGTTTCTGAGGCCAGATTTAAACTCGGGAAGAGCAGTCAGCTTGACTCCAGGCCCAGACCTGTATCTACTGTACCACCTAGCCGCCCCCTATGGCACATAGTAAGCATTTAATAAATGCTTATTAGTTAGTTGATTAAGACCAAGTCACCAATTACTAGAATGAGGAGGCTGCCTTTGAAACTTGAACTGAGTAAGTTTAGAACAAAGAAAAGGAAGGCTCACTTCATAGGTGGTGTCAGGAAAGAAGAATCGATAAATCCATAACAAAGGTGAGTTTTCACTTTTTATAGACATTCTTCACCTATTAGAGACACTCTGGACTTATTCTTTCAATTCACACGTGCACCAGAGCTCCACTGGCTGCATCTCTCACTATGAGGACAGAGCACACTTTGAGGCCCCTAGAACTGGGCTCTAACTGGCCAGTCCCCTGTTAGATCTGCAACTCATGCATTACCTACAGACCCTCATTCTGCTGTCATTGATACCCATGATTTTTGCCGTAGAAAGGGGACTGCACTCTTTGGGAAAGAGAAAAGAAACAAAAGATGAATTCAGGGAAAGCCTGCTTGAGGGAGGTCCCAGTTCCACAGGAAGCCTAAGGCTGGGTTTGTATTGCAGAGGCACCAACCCTATTTGAGACCTATCCTGTCTGGTGGAGTGTGATTGGCATCCTGGCATTGGGACAGCTCAGCATCCTCTTTTACTACAGCTGGAAAACCTACCAGTTCAGAGGTAAGTCCCTATGGGGAAGGTAGGGGGCAGGGCAGTCAGCGAGTCAAGTAGCATTTATGCAGTGCTAACTATATGCTAGGTAAGTGGCATTTATTAAATGCTTACTATTAAATACTAGGTACTGTTCTAAGCCCTGGGAATACAAATAAAAGTAGAAAGAAAGGCAACCCTTGCCCTCAAGGAGCTTACAGTCTAATGGGGGAAGACAGCTCATAAAAGGAAGATGAAAAGGGAACTGGGACAAAGGTACCTTGTACAGGGGCGCAACCAGAGAAAATTCAGAGTACAGCCTGGAGAGGAATGAGACTCTGCTGGCCTCTGGGCAACCACCTTAAATTGGGAAGAACAATCCAATCAGAAGGAGAAGGAGAAGGAGAAGGGGTGGGGGCTACTTTCAATGTATGAATTCCAGGGTTGGAGTGAGGCTTCAGAATGAAGATCTGGGGTATGGTGAAGGAAGTCCGGAGTTCAGCTTGGAAAAGAAAGAAAAGAGACTAGGAAGACATATGAACCCTCATGTTCTTTACCTCAAACATTCTGAAGTTTTGCTTCCAGGCAATAGATTCTGTGGCCTTTAGACTTGGTCAGAGACTCCAGGGATGCAGAAGAGGAGGGGAGTAGTTGGTCAATAAATTACTTCTGTAAGGTGACTCAATGAGTCAGTGAGTGTCCCAGGCCTAGGGAAGGAGGTATCTGGGACACCCTGAATTTAGTAGTCCTCCTGCCTGAAGTGAGGTGGTGGGGTGGGGTGTTTAGGAGCCCTGGCAGGGAGTCCACTGAGGGGTTCTGGGCCATTGTGTTTCAGAGAATTTCCTAGTCAGTTGGACTCATAAGGTGGGAGTGGTGATCCCGGCAGTTTTTTGGTGTTTGCTGATGAGTTTTCTCATTTACTACATTGTGAATATGTCTGGCTGTAGAGGTAAGACCCGACTGGATGCCCCTATTGGATGTTGGAGGGTATCTGTCCCTCTTTGACTCACCAGACCTGGGTTGGGCAGAAGGGGCACAGGCAGAGCTCAGATTCCTCACCCTGAATATCCTGGGAGGAAGAAGGAGTGCTTATGCCCCTGAATGCTATTGCTAGGCCTGTGTATATGTTGAGAGTGACATTGGAATGGTGACATTGATGTGAAGCTCTGGGATGGGGCTCTGCTTTAGTTGGAGAGGAGGGGAAGAAGAACCCTTGCTGTGATTGGGAGTATGAGTGGATAAGGGGAATGGAAGCTCTAATAGGGGATGGAGGAGGCCTGAGTGCTTGGGGTTGCTATGATTTTCAGGCACGGAAGACCTGGATGAGTGGGTTCAGACAGATCAGGTGTATTTGGGGCTGTTGACATTCCTTCCGCTACTGCCAACACTCCTGTTTGTGGCTGTTGATTTCCATGGCAAGCGCAAGGCAAGAGGTAACTAGGACCAACCTGGGGATGGTTTGGGGTTCAGACTCCTCAAGGAAAGGCCACACAGAAATCTGGGCAAGTGTCCTTCCCTCCAACTGCTCCTTAGAGTTCAGGTTCTGGTGAGGCTGGACCTCTGCATTCAAAAATCTAAGAGCTCAATACGTTCCTCTTTTCTTCTCTCTCCTCCTCCCTTACACCACCCACTAAGCATAGCCACATGTTGAACTTTACAGTACAGACATCTGGGATTCAATGTGATACTCCCCTACCCCATACCAAACCTCCCCAATTGCCTGAGGTAGGCAGACCCAAGATGATCCCTAGCCTGAGGTCTCCCCATAACTTTCCACCTTGACATCCTTTTCTCACCCATTCTCACTGCTATCTTCCCATGCTTTGTGCCCTTCTAGGAAACACTGCTCGAAGACAACCCTCAGGTAAGTAATTCTGAGCTCCAGTCTCCACCTCAGTCTTACCCCCAGGCTCTGGAAAGTCAGAGACATTCTTAAACAGCTAAGTTTTCAGAAAAAGGAAGAAGTCAAATCAGATTTCCAGTCCCTCCAGAGCCCTGGTCCTTCCTCTTATGCTCCCCCTACCCCGACCTTTGCACCATTTGTAGGGGATTTCCCAAGGCCAGAGGCTTGCTGAGGATGTCAGTCCTTTTCTAGAAATACCTCAAGTGGAACTCTCCTCTTGGCCTGGGAATTCCTTTGCCTTTTGTCAACACCACATTAATCTCTGTTCCTAATTCAAGCTCAAGCTTCATACTGAGCTCCTGACCTTCTTGTTCTCCAAACTGGTCCCTGAGCTTTTTGATCTCCCTCAGTTGTTATACCTAGTCCTTGAGAGGAAACATGAATTGATGGATAGAGTGTTAGACTTCAAGTCTGGAAGACCTGAGTTCAAATCTTGTCTCTGACATTTACTCACTGAATCTCCATTTCCTCATCCCTAAATGGTCATGGTACTACCTTTAGTATTACCATCCTATTACAGGGATGTAGTGTGACATAAATGAAATTACATTTTTATAGTACCTTGCACATCTTTGAATGTTACCTCTAATTATCTTACCCACCTGCAATATATTTTTTTCTTCTTCTCCCCCTCTACCAAAATGCCAGAGAAGTCATAGGATAGCATCATAGATTTAGAGCCAGAAGAGACTCAGAGACCATCTAATCCAGTCACCCCCCCCCATTTTATACCTGAGGCTTAGGGATGTTAAGTGACTTACCCAAGGTCACACAGGTGGTAAATATCAAAAGCAGGATTCAAACTCAGGCCTACTGTCTTCAGAGCTAACATGCTGTCCAGCACCCCAAGGCTACTTTAGAAGACTCTGCCCACTGGGGATGCTCTCCACCACAGATGTGTTCATGATAAAGACCCTCACAATTTTACCATGCCCCAAAGAAACTATATAACAGCCTTAGCCATGTACAATAATAGATGTCAACAAGAAGGAACAGGGCCATTGCTTCATGTGACCCTAGTGACCCATTATGGATTTGCATTTCTGTACTTTTAACTAAATGATTTTTTAATTTATTCCTGTTTCCAGTCAAGGCTACATTTGAGGTAATGAGCTCTACTTGTTCATTGCTGCTGTGACATGGGATTTCTGTTTATCAGTTCTTTTATGTCTTCCCTACTCCCAAGCTTACCACGTTTACATCCCCCCATTCACCTTCCTCTCCTAAAGGAGCCTGATCCTTTTAGTGTCCTCATTTGATGTTCACTATCCCTTGGCTTACATTACCTTCCTTTTCTCGCTGTATTTGCTTATGACTGGCCAGGGCTGACAACCAGACTGTGAAGGGCAGGGATTATTTCTGAGTTTGTCCCAAACCCTATTCTGATAGAGCCCAGCACCTAGCAGCATGCAGGCAGGAACAAGCATTTATTAAGTTCTTATTGTACTGAGTGCTGGGGATACAAATTCAAACAAAAAGAAAGATGCTTCCTGCCCTCATTCTAATGAGAGAAGACAACACACAAAAGGGAACTGAAAAGTAGGGAAAAGGGGAAGAGGGAAGGTACCTATGTGGCAGTATTGTATCAAAATCCAGAATGTCAGAAACAAAAACAGGAGGCAAATGGCCACTGAGTTAATTTCTCTAGTGATTGCCAGTTCCCTATCTTCACCATACTGATTGCTCAGAGCCTAGCACTTTGTGAAGATAGCCCTAATGACTCTTCTCCAAATATGTGACCTTTTTTTGGCTCACTGAGACACCCCTGCCCTGTTCTATATTTCTGTATATATCCAATCTTTTTATATAGATATAGATCTTTTTGGCTTTCTTCTCCATTCAAGGTATGTTATTCACATTACAAAAGAATTCTTTGGAGAGGAAGGTTTACACCATGGTTAGGATTGAACTTGTATAGAGGTTCACTTCATATAAAACTTAAAGAGGTAGTGTCAAGACTTGACCCATGACCCTACACAAACGAGCTGAGCTTTTTTTGCTTTGTTATGTTTTTATTCAGAAAACGTTCCCCTGGGCACAAGAAGATGAAATTAATAAGAAGCAGCAACAGCCACAGACTTCATGACTCAGCCATTCCATTATCCTATTGGAGAGGATTTAGTTCCCTTTCCTGTCTCCATCATCCCATCCTAGATTCTCCTCACTCCCATCCTTTTCACACATCCACATGCCTTATTGTTTTTTTTTTTATTTACTATCTCATTTTTCCCCAGTTACATGTAAAAACAATTTTTGACATTTGTTTTTAAAACTTTGAGTTCCAATTCTCTCCCTTTCTCCCTCCCCATCTCCCCACATTGAGAAGGTAAGCAGTTTGATACAGATTATGCATTTGTAGTCATGTAAAACATCCATAATAGTCATGTTGTGAAAGAAAACACAGACAAAAAAAGCAACTCAAGAAAAATACAGAAATAAAGAAAAACTATGCTTTAATCTGTATTCAGACATCACCAATTCTTTCTCTGGGGATGGGTGGTATTTTTCATCATAAGTCCTTCAGAGTTGTCTTGGATCATTATATTGCCGAGAATAGCTAAGTCACTCACAGCTGATCATCTTACTATACTGCTGTACCATTATACACAGTACATTTCACTTTGCATCAGTCTATGCAAATCTTTCCAGGTTTTTCTGAGACCATCCTACTAATCATTTCTTTTCTTTTTTTTTTCTTTTTGAGTATTTAATTTATTTATTTTTAATTTTCAACATTTACTTCCACAAGATTTTGAGTTCCAAATTTTCACCCCATCTCGCTCCTCCCCCACCCCAAGATGGCATGCATTCTGAATATCCCTTCCCCTAGTCTGCCCCCCTTCTATTTCTTACCCCCCTTCTCTTGTCCCCTTCCTCTTCTATTTTCCTATAGGGCAGGATAGATTTCTGTACCCCATTTCCTGTATTTCTTATTTCCCAGTTGCATGTGAAAACATTTTTTTAAAACATGTGTTTTTAAAACTTTGGGTTCCAAATTTTTTCCCTTCCTCCCCACCCACCCTCATTGAAAAGGCAAGTAACTCAATATAGGTTATACATGTGCAGTTATGCAAAACACTTCCATAGTATTCATGTTGTGAAAAACTAACTCTATTTCCCTTAATCCTATCCCACCCTCCCATTTATTCTATTCTTTGTTTTGACCCTGTCCCTCCTCAGAAGTGTTTGCTTCTGATTACCCCCTTTCCCAATCTGCCCTCCTCTCTATCATTCCCCTGCTCTCTTGTCCCCTTCTCCCCCTATTTTCCTGTAGGGTAAAACATATTTCCATACCCAATTGAATGTGTATGTTATTCGCTTCATAAGCCAAATCCTATGAGAATAAGATTCACTCATTCCCTCTCACCTTCCCCCACTTCCCCTCCACTGTAAGAGCCTTTTCTTTTCTGTTTTTTTGTGAGATAATTTACCTTGTTCTACCTCTCTCTTTCTCCTTCTCCTAGTATAATCTTCTCTCACCCCTTAATTTTATTCTCCAGATATGACTCCTTCATCTTCAACTCACCCTGTGCCCTCTATCTATCTCTATCTATATGTTTCTTTCTATCTATCTATCTATCTATCTATCTATCTATATATATATATACATACATATAATTTTTTCCCTCCAACTACCCTAACATTGACAAAAGTCTCATGAGTTATAAATATCATCTTTCCAGGCAGGAATGTAAACAGCTCAACCTTAATAAGTCTCTTGTGATTTCTCTTTCCTGTTTATCTCTTCATGTTCCACTTGAGTCTTGTATTTGAAAGTCAAATTTTCTATTCAGCTCTGGTCTTTTCATCAAGAATGCTTGAAAGTCCTCTATTTCGCTGAATAACCATTTTTTTCCCCTGAAAGATTATACTCAGTTTTTCTGAGTAGGTGATTCTTGGATGTAATCCTATCTCCTTTGCCCTCTGGAATACTATATTCCATGCCCTGCGGTCCCTTAATGTAGAAGCTGCTAAATCTTGTGTAATCCTGATTGTGTTTCCACAATACTTGAATTGTGTCTTTCTGGTTGCTTGTAATATTTTCTCCTTGACGTGGGAACTCCAGAATTTGCCTATAATATTCCTAGGAATTTTCCTTTGGGGATCTCTTTCAGGAGGAGATTGGTGGATTCTTTCAATTTCTATTTTGCCTCTGTTTCGAAAATATCAAGACAGTTTTCCTGGATAATTTCTTGAAAGATGATGTCTAGGCTCCTTTTTTTGATCATGTCTTTGTGATAGTGCGATAATTTTTAAATTCTCTCTCCTGGATCTGTTTTCCAGGTCAGTTGTTTTTCCAATGAGATATTTCACATTGTTTTCTAATTTTTCATTTTTCTGGCTTTGTTTTACAGTGTCTTGATTTCTCATCAAGTCACTAGCTTCCAATTGCTCTATTCTAATTTTTAAGGAAGCATTTTCTTCAGTAAGCTTTTTGACTTCCTTTTCCATTTGGCCAATTTTGCTTTTTAAGGCACTCTTCTCTTCATTGGCTTTTTGGACCTCTTTTGCCATTTGGGTTAGGCTATTTTTTAAGGTGTTATTTTCTTCAGTATTTTTTTGGGTCTCTTTTAGCAAGCTGTTGACTTGTTTTTCATGATTTTTTTGCATTACTCTCATTTCTCTTCCCAGTTTTTCCTCTCCTTCTCTTACTTGCTTCTCAAAATCCTTTTTGAGCTCTTCCAAGGCCTGAGACTGATTCATATTTTTCTTTGAGGCTTTGGATGTAGGAACTTTGACTTTGTTGTCTTCTTCTGAGTATGCATTTTGATCTTCCTTGTCAACATAGTAACTTTCTCTAGTCAGAGTTTTTTTTTTTTTTCCTTCCCATTTGCTCATGTTCCCAGCCTATTACCTGACTTTTAATTCTTTGTTAAAGTAGGTCTCTGCTTTCAGGTTGGAGGGCATACTGTCCCAAGCTTTAGGGGTTTTGTGCAGCTGTTTTCAGAGATATCTTTAGGTACCTGTAAGTTTTCAGTTCTTCCAAGGTGGTATGATCTAAGGAGAGGTGTTTACTCCTTTCCTGGCCTGTGCGCTGGTCTGTGGGTGACCACAAGCACTGTTTTCTGCCCTGGAACTGTGAGGAGGGTCCCCCTTCCACTGTGGCCTCAAGCTCTGCTATTCTAGTGCTCCTGCTCACCCTGAGACTGTCACTCAGGACAACAACCTGGATCCAAGCATGGACAAAGCAACAGAGTCATGCCTCAGTGCTAGCAAAAAGGCTCCTGTAATCTCCTTCTGATCAGTTTTTTGACCCCCTTACTGTCTGTGGGCTGAGAGCTCCAGAAGCAGCTGCTGCCATTGCTACGGATGATTCAGTCACTCCCAAGGCCTGCTCCTGGTTTGCTATGGCTGGGGCTGTACTGGTGGCCTGTGCTGGACTGCATTCCACTCTCACCCAGGCATGACAGACCTTGTCTTTGGCATCTGTGGGCTGAGATATCTGGAAATGTCCACTGCTGCCAGTGATTCAGTCACCCCAAGGCCTGCTCCAGGTTTGCTGGGGACCAGTCTGTGCTGGTGTGACCTGCCCTGTGCTACACTATGCTCCTCTCTCACCTTAGTGCAACAGACCTTTACTGCTGACCCTCAAAGTTGTCTGGCTAGAAGTTTGTTTCACTCTATCTTTTTGTGTGTTCTGCTGCTCTAGAATTTGTTTAAAGTAATTTTTAAAGGTATTTGGAGGGGTTTCAGGGAGAGCACAAGTGAGTCCCTGCCTTTACTCTTCTATCTTGGCTCTACCTCTCTCAAATGCTTTATTATATAAAGGTTGGACATTGGGGATATTGTAGAGGGACTTCATGTAATAGAAGGTGTTTCCCTGTTATTATCTCTCTCTCGTGAAATTATTTTGTATGTGTGTTTGTGTATTTTCATCTGTAGACCTTGAAGCAACTCCTCTCTCATATGTGGGACCCCGAGAAGTGTTCCCACAGATTTAAGGTACTTGTGGGTCTGCATAAATGCAAAACCATAGACTAAAAGTCCCTACTCACGTGTTTACTTTTATTAGTCAGAGTACATAATTCAAATCAAAGGCATTTGGTGAAAGGGTATATAGTCTATGCCCAATTTCTGCCAGACTATTTCCAGGTTTCCCAGTAATTTTTACCAAATAACGAATTCTTCTCCCCAAAACTTAAGTCTTTACATTTGTCAAAAACAGTTTTACTATAGTCATTTGCTGCTGAAAATTGTATGTCTACTCTGATCTACTGATCTACCTTTCCATTTCTTACCAGTACCAGATGGTTTTTGATAATTACTGTCTAACAATATAGTTTAAGATCTGGTACTGCTAAACCTCCTTCCTTTATTTTTTTTATTAGTTCTTTTGATATTTTTGACCTTTTGTTCTTTCAAATGAATTTTGTTATTATTTTTTCTAACTCATTAAAATAATTTTTGGTAATTTAATTTGGATAGCATTGAATATATAGGTAAAATTATTGTTTTTATTATATTGGCCCTGTCTACACATGGACAATATTTCTCCAATTATTTAAATCTGATTTTATTTGTATATAAAGTTTTTTAAAATAATTTTGTTCATATAGTTCCTGGATTTGTTTTGGCAGGTGTACTCCTAGATAGTGTTTATTGCCTAGAGTTATTCTAAATGGAGTATCTCTTGCTATCTCTTTTTGAAGGTTTTTGTTTGTGTCATATAGGAACATTGATGATTTATGTTAATTTACTTTACATCCTGCTACTTTGTTAAAATTATCAATTGTTTCAACTAATTTTTTAGTTGAGTGTTTGGGATTTTCAAACTATATCATGTAAACCAGCTTGCCCCAACTAGCTTGAGGCCCTCTCACCTGAGAAAGGCCTAAAACCTGGATTGGCCAATTAGGAGAAAGACATTTTTGGCTCACTCTGAGCTTAACCTACCATAACCATTTGCATGTTCTGGCATAACAGACATGTTTTGCTTTGCTCTTTGAGTGAACACAAGCTCTCTGGCTAGATTTTGCTCACTGGGAACATTCTTCTGCCAAGGACCTGGCTCATCAGACGTCTCCTTTATTTTAGTGTTTATGACTCTCCCTTATTATCCTGAGTAATGCATCCCTCTTTTCTGTGTTTATGAGCACTGTTAGGTTGTTATGTTATGTTATGTTATGTTATGTTATGTTATGTTATGTTATG